TAGTTTGGTATTTTACGACTCTCTGGTTGGGCTTTTGCAAATTGGGGTTGGGGGTGGGGTTGGTCCGGGGATGGTTTTATCTAAAGTTATACTCGGACAAGCCTGTTTGAGTGCGATCGGATCTGGGTTCAAGTTATTCGTACAAGCTTGTTTGAGTACGATCGGATCTGGATTTTAAGACCCTTCGCCATGTGAATGCATTACTCAAGGACTGCTGAATTTCTGTCCATGCAGGCGAGTTCGTCTTTGTCCAGTTCACGGAAAGCGGGCGATGGGAAACTGGATTATTCTCACATCACGGTATGAATTCTATTGGTTGACTTTCTATCTGTCTTTTCAGCGAGTTTTAGGTGATTCCAGAGTTTGGCGTTTCTAACAATTTTATGCTTCAATCTTCAAGGTTGAGCTTAGAACAGTAGATGGATTGGTTAAGGACCAAACACAGTGTGCTCCAAATGGGTACTATTTCATCCCCGTATATGACAAGGTACTTGTAGAACATTATCTTTCTGTCTTCGGATCCTATTTAAAGCATATTTGTAGGGTGAATCAGTCTTTGGTTCTACTGAATGTCCTTATTCCCCCTTTTTTTTTTCAGGGCTCGTTCATTCTCAGAATAAATGGACCTGAAGGATGGTCTTGGAACCCGGATAAGGTTTTATATTGCTCTTCTTCTTCTTTTCTTTTCTTTTCTTTTCTTTTTTGTTATTCTAAAGATTGTGCATCAGGTGTCTTTCTTGACACCGGCACTAGGCTTAGGGCTAACTATTATGTTGAATTTTTGTTTCACAGGTCCCTGTTGTTGTTGATGATTCTGGTTGCAACAACAATGAGGATATTAATTTCCGCTTCACGGGGTACGTTGTATGATTGATTGAGTTCACCTTTTTGTTCTCCATCTTGTTTAATGTGGGTTAGCTCTTCTTCTGTTCTCTTCAAGATCTCTTACTTATTATTTATATATTGCAGTTTTACCTTATCTGGCAAAGTCCTTGGAGGTGTTGGTGGGGAGAGTTGCGTGATAAAGAATGGAGGTCCATCGGGTGTGAATGTTGAATTGTTTTCCCCAAACGATGATCCAATTGCTTCTGTTGTCACATCATCAGATGGAAATTATTTATTCAAGAACATCATTCCAGGTAAGGTCCTAGAGGCTAGAGCTTTCATCATCATGTGTATTTGCTATCTTTTTTGTTTGCCCTGCCTTTGTATTTATGCTTTGTGACACAGACTATGATTTAGATGCAATTTTTTTTTTTAATTCCAAATAACCTACTTATGTTTACCAAATGTATCTTTTAGACATCATGAGGCTATATTAACAATCGGTGTGAGTTTTGCAGGTAAATACAAAATCCGTGCATCCCATCCAGATCTGAAGGTTGAAGTTCGAGGTTCCACGGAGGTCGCATCCCACATCTTTCTTCTTTCATTTTCTCCTTCTCAACCCATGTGCATTTGATTGTATTGCATGTCTTTCTTTACTCTTTGACCTTTCTATATTTATCTCAGTCCAATATGTTTAGCTTGATAGTTTTAGGTTCTGCATGCTAAATATATGTGGGATTCTTGTCCTGTAGGTGGAACTCGGGTTTGCAAATGGCATGGTTGATGACATATTCTTTGTCCTTGGGTATGACCTCAAGGGTTCAGTTGTCGCTCAGGTAATTCCCTTTTTATTGTTTTTGTGTTTCTTTTGATACTCAAATTCATCCACCTTCCCATCAATGGATTATTCAGTAAATTCTTATGAATTTCAGATATCAATTTTAGTGTATCATTCATGTGGTTCTATTCTCATCTATCATGCCCTTGTAAAATGTTACCAGTTTTTATCCTTGATAAAAGTCGGTTTGCTTCCTTTGTAGGGGAATCCAATCCTGGGTGTTAATGTATATCTGTACTCAGATGACGTTGCTGAGGTAGATTGTCCCCAAGGATTTGGTGATGCTTCTGGAGAAAAGAAAGCTCTCTGCCGTGCTGTGTCTGATGCTGACGGAACTTTCAGTTTCAAGTCAATCCCCTGTGGTAACCGAGAGTCAAAACTCCATATGAAATTGCTCTGACAACATAAATTATCTGCCATTTCATCTTGTTTCATAATTTGAGTCGACCTGATTACTTTTGTTCTGCAGTCACGTAAATGATGATAGAGCATGTTAAGCACTAGAGTACATATTAAGTTTTGAAATTCTTCTGAATTGGTTCTTAAAAGATCTTGAGGTCAAGTTCAACGGTTTTAGATTGTTGTTGCCTTCAATCTCTCACATAGAACTGTCAGGCTACTATAATGGCTTTGCAGGTGTCCTTACTCTTTATTGATTCTATATTTTGGTTGCTTCAATCCTTTTACTCAGGAAAGTATGAACTGGTACCATACTACAAGGGTGAGAACACAGTCTTTGATATTTCACCTTCTGTATTGCATGTGTCCGTCGAGCATCAACATGTAACTACTCCCCAAAAATTTCAGGTCAGACAATATAAACCTGACCCTTTTACTGCCATACAATTGTTACTGTGCTCCCTTACATGGTTCTTCCTGTAAATACCATGTTGAATGTAGGTAACTGGCTTTTCCATTGGGGGTCGTGTAGTTGATGGATATGGCATGGGAGTTGAGGGTGTGAAAATCTTAGTAGATGGTAATCAAAGATCTGTCACTGACAAGGAGGGTTATTACACGCTTGATCAGGTATACTACAATTCTGATTTTCGGTTTATACAACAAACTCTTCTTTTAATTTTTATTGTGAAATCTGCTTACCTGGTCTTTTTTAGTCATCACCTAATGAAATTTTGGGTAACACCACAAGACTTATACTCTAAAGCTAGTTCGCTGGATGAGAAATTAATGGTAGTGTCTTTGTTACTTAACAAACCAAGAGACATTTGGTATCAAACTGTTACCTCGTGGCTTTCTTCACCACTCTTTCATCTCATTTTTCTCAGTGTTCTGATGGTGCTTAGATTTTGCATTATATCCTCTTTTGAAAGCAGGAGGTTCAAGTTAGTATTTGTTAAACTTTGTAGGTTACGTCAAATCACTATACGATAGAGGCGATTAAGGAGCACTACAAGTTTGACAAGCTGAAGAAATTCTTGGTAAGACACACTCTCCCCC